CAAGATAGATCTTATACTAAAAAAGGAACTACAGTTGCCACTGTCAGACTTTATGTTTTGGACAGACAGCACTGCTGTACTTAAGTACATAGCCAATAAAAATGTCAGATTCAAGACATTCGTGGCAAACAGGGTTTCCATGATCCTACAAGCATCAACAGTACAACAATGGAGATACATAAATACACAGCTGAATTCTGCTGATTGTGTTTCCAGAGGGCAAAAGGTGAGCACCTTCATTCAGAATCAAATCTGGATCACTGGGCCGGTCTTTCTCAGCAAACCAGCAAAGGAATGGCCAGATCAATGCAATCACCTGGAAAACCTTACAGCAGCTGATCCTGAAGTGAAAAAAGGCATTCTGGTTAATGCTACTACAGCTGAAGAAAACAATGATGTGATGCAACAACTGATTGAATATTTCTCTTCATGGGTGCATCTAAAAAAGGCAGTGGCATGGCTCAGAAGAATCAAAGGTGCTCTGATAAACCTGCCAGAGAAGAGAAAGGAAATGAACAGATTACACACAGACCAACAAGTGGTGAACAAAGAAATGTTGAACAACAAAAGGAGCCTTACTCAGACCTTCCTCACTGTGGAATAACTACAACAAGCTGAACTGGCCATCATCAGTCATTGTCAGCTAAATACATTTCACAAGGAAATATCTGCTCTTCAGAAACATAAGCCTATCAGGAGAAGTAGTCAGATATTCAGACTGAATCCGGTGCTTCAGGATGGAATGCTTCGTGTTGGAGGGAGGCTCAGTCGAGCTGCCATGCCAGCTGAAATTAAACACCTGCTGATCCTGCCCAAACACCATCGTGTGGCTAATCGGATCATCCAAGATATTCATGAACGACTAGGACACAGTGGGCGTAATCATGTCATATCACATTTACAACAAAAATACTGGATTCCTGGTGCCCAGTCATTGATCCAAAAAATACTGTCCCGATGTATGACCTGTCGAAGACAACATGGTGCAGCAGGCACACAAATGATAGCAGATTTGCCTAGAAATAGACTCATACCAGATGAACCACCCTTTACCAGAACCGGAGTGGATCTCTTTGGCCCATTTGACATCAAACATGGAAGAGCATCAGTGAAAAGGTATGGGGTTATATTTACCTGCCTTGTATGTCGTGCAGTCCACATAGAAATGGCAACATCTCTAGAAACTGATTCATTTATCAATGCTCTGCGTCGATTCATTGCGCGAAGAGGACAAGTGAACGTTCTGACAATGGGACCAACTTGGTTGGAGCTGATCGTGAGCTCAGAAAGGCAATACAGGAGTGGAATATGTCTCAAATAGAGAGAAACGTACTCCAGCATGACATTAAATGGATGTTCAATCCACCATCAGGGTCCCACCATGGAGGAGTGTGGGAGAGACTTATCCATTCCATCAGGAAAATTATGGGTGCTACTTTGAGGGAACAAAGCTTGGATGAAGAAAGTCTTCAAACGTTCTTCTGTGAATGTGAAGCCATTCTAAACAGTAGGCCCATCACCACATCTTCCAACGATGTAAATGATCTGGAAGATCTTACCCCACAGCACTTGCTGTTAATGAAAACCAAACCCTCCTTGCCATCAGGACTCTTCCAGAGAGATGACATGTATGTTCGTAGAAGATGGAGGCAAGTCCAATACCTGAGTGATCTCTTTTGGAAGCGCTGGACCAAGGAGTACTTGCCTGAACTCCAAAAATGGCATAAGTGGTCCAACCTATCATGCAACTTTGCCCGAGGAAATGTCGTCTTGATCGTCGACGAATCAGCACCTAGGGCTTTGTGGGTAATGGGAAGAATTGTCAAGACAGAAGAAGATGAAAATGGAATGGTCCACAAGGTTCGAGTCAAGACGAAGATGTGTGAACTAGAGAGGCTAATCACCAAACTCTGCTTGCTTCAAGAGGCAGTGTAAAGTGACTCTGAAAGATAACAGATTCAGGACATTGCAAATAACAGACATGTATTATTCGAACTGATAGTTTGTAATTGTTTCTATACTAGAAAGCAATTAGGGGCCGGATATGTAAAGACCAAAAGAACACAAATGTGAAATTGTAGTTGTGCAGTTCCATTTGTATATTTATTGGACAGTTAATTTTGACTGTATGTTTAAACGGTTAAAGGTGTAAAAAATTGAAAGGTTAATGTTAATATTGGCCAGTCATTACTTTTTTTGGAAAAATGGTTATTACTATAATGTTCAGTAATGTTTTGATTGTGTACTGTGGCTTTAAAAAAGTCATGCTACTTCCCGTATTAGTCTTGCTTGGGAAAAAGGTTCTGAAGAGTTTGGAAGCTCACGGTTTTCTTACCGTACGTCTGTAACATGTTTCCTTTCGACAGTTTTCACGTTTAGTTATGTTATAACTTGTGGAATTTGCTATGTTCGTTTTTTTTTTTTTGAGCCGCTAAATTAAACCAAAATATTTCTGCA